ATATATATGTATGTATGTAGTTTTAAGCTGTTATGTAAGGTGGTCAAATTTTCCCCTTTAAGGAACACTTATTGTCATAAAGTGAAAGGACCTTCTGAGTTATTGTTTCTTGTTACAGACAGCTCTTTTTGCAGCCTTAGGAAAATTAATTTATTTCAGATGAGATAAAGTAAKCTGAATAAGAGAAAAACCAAATTAAAAACTGTGGCAGCCATCCTAAAGTTCCAATATCAAATGTTTCTTAGCAGTTCATTCAAATACTATTTGTAAAACAAAGATGCTGCTAGAAGTGATGTGTTCAGAATATGTGATGTTTTTAACTCTCAGCTCTCGCAACAAATTTTAGCTATCTATAAATTGTACTGAGTTGTATTTTGATTTTGTTTCCAGTTGACTGTGGTATCCATCTTAAATTGGGTTCACTCCAAAAGTTAATGAGTTAAAGATGAAGCACGACCACTGATCACATTCTGAAGGTTTTGTTAAAATCAATCCAGTGGCTCACGAGATATTTTGCTAACAAAGAGCTACAGGCAAAAGCACAATATGTTGTTTGAAACCTAATTTCATGCATTTAATATATAATGATTTGACTTTGAGAAAAACAATCATGCTGACAATGGATTTTATTTACTTTCTGCAAATAGAACCAGTCTGTAAACTCAAAATGAGCACATAAGTAAGGAAATGTGTGTTTGGTAGATTATTTCCTTGTTGTAACAACGCTTCTTGGCAATAAATCTCATACTGTTGAAAAGCCTTTTAATTTACATTTTAAATGGGGCCATATTTGTAAGGAACATGCGTAACCAGTAGAGCCGAGTGTGTGAGTTGTGCACGTGAATAATTTGCCAAATCCTCTCTGCTGAACAGTTTATTTTATTGTTATTGACTCTTGTTTTGAGCTTCTGGTACCACCAGGTGTTGCTATAAGCTTTATTGCCAAGAAGCATAGTTACAACAAAGACATATCTATCTACTTTCCTTTGTTGAAATTGGAAAKTGTGTCTCTGACCAAATGGGTTTGACCTGTGGAGTTCCCTAAGGGTCAATCCTGGGACCCTTATGGTTTTAACCTGTACATACTCCTGTTGGTCCAGTAATACAAAGTTATAATGCATCCCTCCACATGCAGATAATACTCAGATTAACGAGATACTGATAGCCAGAGAATATGAACCTGTAGATTTATTGTGTCACTATTTCAGACAGACCAGTGAGTGGATGAAATTCAATTTTCTACAGTTAAACTCTAATAAAACTTAAGTTATCGTCTGTGGTGTACAGAAACAAAGACAAAGTGTTGTTAGTCACCTTCAGACTCTCTTTAATGATTCTAATAATCAGGTTAGAAAACTTGGGGCAATATTTGACCCAGACCTGAACTTTAAGCACCACATTATCAATAACATCCAACCGACACCAAACACAAGGAGATAAAAGACCATCTCAGCTCTTTGAAAACATGTGTGCAACCGAGTGTTTACTTTGACTCAGGTCTGTCTCTTGACAAACATGTAAATAATCTGGTCTCCACCTGCTACTTCCAACTTCGCAATATTTCGAAGCTGCCGCCCCTGTTGTCRATTAACTCATGCATTCATCTCGACCCGCATACATTATTGTAATAGCCTGTTCACCTGTCTGAACCAGAAACAGATWAATCGCCTTCAGCTRGTACAAAACTCTGCAGCAAGACTCTTAACCCGAACTTCAAAATTCTCACACATCTCCTCGATCAAAAATAAAAAAAATTGTGTAGGTCTTCTGGACGGGTTCTTCTCTAATGWAACGTTTCGTCTCTCCTCCAAGAGACTTCTTCAGTCTGAGAGTTTCAGGCAAAATTCAGGCTTTTAAGCCCTGCCTCCATGTAACTGATACTCACATCACATGGCTATCGTTGACACCTAATTAACACCCATTGTTAACAGGGGTGGAGTGATACTGGCAATAGCAGCACTGTAGGAGGGGGACAACTGAAAACGGAGGCCTCCACCTCTGTTTAATGATGGACGGTCTTTCTTCACAAAAATGGCTTCTTTTACTCCTCTCTCAAACCAACGTTCCTCTCTATCAAGAATGAGAACATCCTCATCTCTGTTGGTTGGTTTGAGAGAGGAGTAAAAGAAGCCATTTTTGTGAAGAAAGACTGTCCATCATTAAACAGAGGTGGAGGCCTCCGTTTTCAGTTGTCCCCCCCCACAGTGCTGCTATTGCCAGTATCACTCCACCCCCCTGTTAACAATAGGTATTAATTAGGTGTCAACGATAGCCATGTGATGTGAGTATCAGTCACATGGAGGCAGGGCTTAAAAGCCTGAATTTTACCTGAAACTCTCAGACTGAAGAAGTCTCTTGGAGGAGAGACGAAACATTTCATTGGAGAAGAACCCGTCCAGAAGACCTATACAATTTTTTTCTTTTTGATTTTTTTACCTGGATTACTGAGATGCATCAGGACATCTCCCCGATCCTTTCAGAGCTTCACTGGCTCCCTGTTCATTTTCGAATCAAGTTCAAAATCCCGGTCCTCACTTTCAGAGCTCTCAATSGCCAGTCGCCTGACTACATTAAAAGTCTCGTCTCCCCTTACAACCCCAAACACAGCCTACGCTCACAGGATCAACATCTCCTAATGGTTCCCCACACAGGTCTCAAGACCCGTGGTGACCGAGCCTTCTCCTCCATGGCCCCCAGGCTCTGGAATGAACTTCCTATCCATCTGCACATGCTTGAAAGCATTGATTCAGTCAAGAAATATCTGAAAACACATCTCTTTAAACAAGCTTTTAACWAACCAATTTCAGCATTTTTCTGCAGCCTGACCTTTTAGTGTCTGTTTCACCAAACCCTACCTTCCGACCGTACAATTCATCATGTTAATATATGTCAAACAGCCAGTATTTTCATCCAAAATCATTGCAATTTATCAAAACTGTATTTTTCTAAAATGTACCAGCACTCCACAATCTACCCATTCAGAGACCTGCCTCCWAATTAATTTCTGATTTAAAAATCCTTCGTCTTAATATGTTAATGTTTTACTCTGCCCTCCCCATCTTTGTCCAGATATTATTTACTTGTTTTATTTTTCAGATTGTACAGTCTTGATACTTTGATGGTTGTACAGCTTTTATGCTTTTTTGTTCCAAATTTTTGTATATCCTGRTCTGATTGTATATCTTTTAGATTTGCCCCTGAATGTACAGCACCTTGTGAATCTATTTCTATGAAAGGTGCTATGTAAATAAAACTTTACTTACTTACTTACTTTACATCAGCGGCTTTCTAGCATCTGAAAATCACTGCTGGAATCAGAGGAACAGTGTCTAAACTAAACTCTGACGGTGGCCTCCTGTAACTAAACAAGGTGAGGCTGCGTTTCAGTGCTACGCTCCTAAAATCTGGAACAGTCTTCCTGAAGATGTGAGACAGGCCTCCACTCTGACAATATTTGAATCCGGATTGAAAGCAGTTCTTTTTATTTACACATATAACAGCTGAGAGTAGTTTTATTGATTTGTTTCTTTTTAAACTGTTTTTTATGGGTTTTATAAACTTTTATATAAAACACTTTGAGTTGTCTTGTACAGAAAAGATGCTATAAAAATAAATTTGCCTTGCCTTATTGCTTGTGCTAAGTTCAGTTTGGCTGTAAGTCTTCACAGTCACCAGCAGGTGGCAGCATCACAGCAGCTGCAGGCCAGAACCCACTTTCTTGACACCACTGGGATGTAAGCAGCTTCTATGAAACCACGTGATTTACCACAAATAAATCAGCAGTAGTATCTGCCTCCTGACTCATGACACCGTCACTTCAAGTTTGCATCAATTCTGTTTAAGTTCAAAGTCACAAAAAAAAAATCCTGAGTTCGTGGAATGAGTTTCGATCYATAAATAAAAGTTCTTTTCAGGGCTGGGAGTGAGTCCGTCAGCTGCTTCACTAACAAAAACAACAGCTTTACTTTTGGTAATGTCTGAGTTTGCATTTCCTGCAGTGAGTCATGTCCACTCGGTGGCTTGCACGGCGCTTGTCTGGCAGCATGTTGTGATGTTTGGAAGGAAGGGGAAGTGTGAGCACACCCTTCACCCAGTCTGTCTGAAAAAAAAAAAACATCTTACACCACAGAAGACACCGTGTCAGTCCTTGTGCAAGAGCAGGAGGCTGCTGTGAAACCTGTTCTCCCTGAAACCCCCCCTGGATGACCTGATCTTCACAGCCACCCTGTGTCTCCTGAGGCCTCGCTGCTTGAAAGCTGCACTGATAAAAACTTTGTACTGCTCCGTTTGAGTGAAGCGAGGAAAACAGTCGTTCTTCATCAGGCTGAATATTTTCCTCTGAGCCACCYTGAAGCACGATGAACCTGGTTGTTGGAGACTCTCTCTGATCCCGTCTTTCGTGTAGAAATCCAAATTCACCTGCAAAGATTTGGTAGAGAGATCTTACACGATTAAAGTCACCAAAGAGAGACAGAAACACAATGAAAAACGTGAAGACAGAAGCCAACAGCTACTGRTGAAATCACCACTTCCTTCTCTGARACCTGATAAWACTTRAGGACCTTTGTAAAACTCTAAGCTGACAAAATGCCAACAACGTGAAGTATAAAACATAGAAGAGTGTAAAGTTCAAACTGCTGCCAGTAGTTCATTAGGGTCGTGGTAACCACAGACCTGTAGCTCCCTCCTCAAGAGGCAGGCAGACAGAAACTCTGGACCTGGATGAGGGTCCCTGAGGGACGGGAGGTCTGGGTTTCTCTTTTGGACTTGCTGACCCGTCGACCCGACCACAGATAAGAATGATAAATGGACTGTAGGGATGCCGATGTACAGTATCTGCATAAACATCGGTATTGGCCAGTGTTGGTCATTTTTAGCATATTGGTACCAGTCCAATTGGTAAAACTGGGCCGATATTAACGTCTGATATTGATTTCCCACTTGTCAGTGTGCATTSCATATGCAATGCACACTATTGTGATTCGTTTCCCATAGAAGTCATCTCAGCTTTGCCATGCTTCTCCTCCTGCATACTTTTGTCCAAGAGCTGCCATTGTAATTTATATCTGTAAAGCCCCTGTGCCAAATGATGGCTATGCCTTTTGGTGCCTGTAAAACTTATAGTTTTTGAAATATTAATGTTTAATAAATTATAATGACAGTCAATGGAGCCTTTTACTGGTCCAATACTGCCCCCTGCTGCACTTACACAATATGGTACTGTACCAAAGTTTCATAATATTTAAAAGTAGTTCAGTGATTGCAATATTAATATGATTGTATTTTGATGTTTTACTATAATACTGTCTTTATG